ATATATATATATATATATGCATATGTATATGTATATATCGATTGCCAATGCAATCAATATGAAATATATCACAACTTGCGTTCTTTGCGCTGGTATAGTCTCATGTATCAGTAGTGGAACTACTCAACGACCAATAATTTATATACACATAGACAATTTATACAAAATCATACCGATCTTCGCGGTTTCAAGGTTAGCCTTTTCGATGACAACAATCACACGCTTCATGGACTGTTTCTCAATCGTTGTTTTGGGCAGCTTTGGCTGTGATGGTCTGTGTTCGGACATATTGATATATAGTTGGTTTGAAGTAGGGACTATAACTGTAAGCTCCGCTGAATATGCTGGGGAAATATCTTTATATATATGATGCTGATAGACTCGCTACAACTTGTACTTTTACTTTCAAATGTATCTTATCTGTATATAAATACATACAATTTTATACAATACATATAAAGCACCACGTGCAAAATTGATGACAAACAAAATATCACAAAAGCTGTCGGGTTGCTGTGCCATTTGTTCTATGTAAGTAATGTACTACATTTGGCGCCGCAAGTCCCTTTTTTTACAACGAAGTGCGATATGGCCCTACATACCTGGTTGTGGGTATGGAAAGCCACATACAGGCGGATTCACTGCAACAGCAAGAGTGCGTGGTCTGTCTCTGATCAATCCGCCGATAATGTAAATATGTAAATAACTATTGTTAAGTGATGAGACATCTATACTGTTTAGTGACGTGAATACGTGCATAATTTCACGCCGGTCACTCTGTTTGTATCGGATATATACACATAGAAAGAATATCTGCGGGGTTGCTCAAGACACAATGGACTCGAATACATGTGAAAACACCACAATAGATGGCAAAATATTACCAAACGAAGCTAGTGACTGCGAAGGAGTCTGCGAGGATACAAGCTCCAATGGTATAAGTTCAAGTGTATCGGTGGTTTCAGACAATGTTGAGATAGAAGTGTTCAAGATTGTAAGTGGTGTTGCCCAGCTAGTTCGTGTAGATTTGCCGTCCGACTCACACGACGGCGACGATCACGTTGAGGCGTATACAGCACCTCATGACGGAGCGAGTGATACAACTGTCAATGCGAGCTCGCCTATAAAACCAGAGCACACAACACAGTCAGTAGATAGCACAGTTAAACTCCCCAATGGAGGTCGCATTCCTCGCGACAAGAAGAAGAATAAGAAAAAGGCTAAGAAAATACGTGAATTGAAAGAGATTGAACTGGATTACGATGGTTACCGACCCTTCCCACAGTACCCCCGGGCGTTCCTAGGCGCCGAAGCTCAGCAACACACACTAGACAATGCATACTTCGAAGGTAACGACAAACAAGGGGTATTAGCTATGGCTAGGAATTACTTGGAAGGCAAGAAGAAGATCAGTATGGGGGCCTTGGAATACCAGGCACTGGCGTACGCATGCGATGTGTATGTACAGTTAAAACAACCACAGAACGCATTAGAGCTTATTGAGAAGTGTAGGTTAAAACCACAGCAACTGGATTCCTATATGGTGGGTCTCATGGCTGAGTGTTATGAGAGTTTGGAGAAGTGGGACCAGTATTTAGAGATGAGGCAACACCTGGTGTGTATTGAGAAGTCGAATGCACGGTCATGGGTTGCATTGGCGGACACTTATCTAAAAATAGCACGGATAAACAGTGAACCGCAGGTGAAGGGGGTGGATAGAATAGTACCGGAGGGGGTGGCACAGTTAAGTGCTGGGGATAGGAACACATCTGCTGACGTAGACACACACAGACAGCCAAGTACTCCCACATGCACAGTTAAAATGCCTAGAGATGCCGGCACACAGCCTGGGGTGAACATAACTGATAGTACAATGTATGGTATAAACGAGCGTATAACGGCCATGGTAGTGGAGGAGAGTGCTGAGCAACGGTCTAATAATAGCCGTCCATTGCAAGCACGATCTAAAAATAGCTACGAGCTCAGAGCAGCGGAAGTATGTCTGAGACACGCACTACGGTTGCTGCACACCGAGTTGGTGACGGCCAAGGGATTTGCTGTAGCCCGAATCAACAAAGCCACGGCGAGTGTGCACACAACCTTTGCAGAGTATGGGTGGGTGGACAGTAAACCCAGGCAACGCCAGCGACATACTGCCGAGCCAACTACAGTAGAGTGTGTCTGTGCCACACCACGTGGTCCCACCGACACGCATAGCCCCACCCAAGAGGGTACACCACCGGATGGTGCTAGTAAAAATGGCTGTACGGGTGTGGAGACAAGCACAGAATGCACATGTGATGCGGTGGGTGGGGATGTGGCTAGTGCGCGGGAGGATGATGGCTACGCGAGTGATGACGATGAGAAGTGGACTGTCAAGGGTGGCTTGGCAGGTAAGATTGTGTGCAGAGAGGTGTTTGAGGCGGCGTATCTGGGCAGTGTACGGCGGTGACAGCTTAGTAGTTTAACGCGATGGCTTGTAATAGGCCGCATATCAGACCATATCATAGGAGGAGAATAGCCATGCTTTGTGAGTTTGGGTATATGCAGAATAGAAGCAAGATTATATGCCGAGAAGTGTCTGGCCAGTGTACGGCGGCGACAGCTTAGTAGTTTAACGCGATGGCTTGTAATAGGCCACATAACAGACCGTATCATAGGAGGAGAATAGCCATGCTTTGTGAGCTTGGGTATATGCAGAATAAAAGTAAGATTGTAGGCCGAGAAGTGTCTGGGCAGTGTACGGCGGTGACAGCTCATCAGAAGATATCACGTGAAGCATGTTGCATCAGAACGACATGTAAACGAATTTGTATCGTAATGCCAAAAAAGCACTATCACAGTACCGTGTACGGTGGCGATAGTCAATAAGAAACGATGACATGTCATCGGAAGCACCTTGTGTCGTACCTAGATGGTAGAAAGATTGTGTTTGCTATGTGAGTGTAGACATGTTGCATGAAAACGAGCTTGTATGCAGGTGATTTCGCTTGCTTTGTGAGGTATAAGCAGGCTGGATCAAGTAATATTTTTGCTGAGACATGCGTGGGACTGCGTATCGGGATAGTGTACGACGGCGACTGCCCTTTCGAAGCAATAGCTCGCTTTCAGCATACGACACCGGAAGCATATCGTATTAGAAGATCATGGTATTATATAGTGACTAGCATAGTGACTTCCCAGTTAGTTCTGGTCTGCTAAAGTGTCAGCTTATTAAAACAAGGAAATAGCTGGATATAGGAGAACAGATTCCTTTGTAGAAGAGAATACCTCTTGCTCGTGAACAGGCACTTGGTGAATTGGTTCGTGCAGTGTGCACCGGCGACAGCCCAAAAACATAAAGAACTTGTGGTTAGTGGCACATGACTGTTTGCGGTTAGAGGCACATGCCTGTCTTTGTATACTTGTATGCGTTTGCATATCTGGACAGTGCTCCGCGACAGCTTATGAAAGGAGAGCGCTTATCAACAGTAGGATAGTGTATTTTGAAGCGGAAGTCTCGTTTAATTTTGGCAGGGTACACATTGTCAATTTTGAGTAGTGGTGCTATGTTCAGCGGTTTAGAACTTCCTATATATGTCACCTGAAGGGAAATAACTTCCCACAGGTTACAATTTGGGGTTACGATGTACGTTTGCCTAATATTCACAACTGAAGTACTTTAAAAAAACGTACTAATATTCACAACTGACTATTGAATTTATTTATTTTCCTTCGTTCAGTTACTGCCCCCTCGGCAACCATTCCGTTTTGTGGCCTGTCAAATATGATGGGCCGTGAGCGGTGACATGTTGGTTGGAAGTATAAGTAGCGGTTGTAAGCACTAATTTATATTCAGCAGAAAGAGTGTATTTTCCTAGACACAACCTGTAGAATATTTCAGTACCGTATGCGACGATGTCAGCTTGGAAGGTGAGCATCAACTGGAATAATTGGATTGTTACACGCACTTATATAATTTGTTCACTTATAAGGAGAAAGATGTAGCACTCCAGACGGCAAACTGACAGTGAATATTTCCTGCAGTCTGAAAGGATCGCAGCCACTTGTGCACGGGTATGGTGGTGGTGTATCCATCACCCCCTCCCCTGCTCCCCTCACAGATATATACATATATATATATATATATAAATATAAATATATAAAAATATACATACATACATACATACAGGCATACATACATATATACATACATACATACATACACACACACACACACATATATATATATATATATACTGTAATGGTCATTTGTTTACACCATATTATACAATTGCTTTATATTTATTATACAACCAATGGCCGCTTTCCGTTCCATCGCATTTTCGGCATCAGACGATGCCAACATACTCTATCTACTTCGACGCACAGACTCAATGTACTTGACTGCGGTTTCTTAGACGGGTCTCTTTGGTCGGCAAAGTGTTCCTGCGTGAGAGATAGGTATACACCTAGGTCTATGGGCTGCGGATGTCTCAGCCAGTCCTGATACATACTCCACATATACACATAGTACTAGGCGACACGCGCCGAGTCCAGACAAAGCCAAGATTGAGACCGCTAAGGTCCCGTATTCCTTCTGCACATTCACCCCCCCCCCCTCGCCCGTCCTTTGGACCGGGCTCGAGGGTATCTGTGGTACATTGTAAGCGCTTCCCGAGTGTCTCAGCCACTAGCATTAGAGGTAACGATGCCGGTACATCGTACGGTCTGAGATGACCGTTGTCAAGGCCTGTGGCCTGTGTTGACTGTAGACTGTGCGGACAGTGTCGAGTCGACGCAGGCGGAAGGCTGTTGCAGGCGCTCGTGAACCGGTTATGGGCCACCCAGAAAGTACCAGAGGCGACAGGTGCTCTGTGAATTGGGGCGCTAGATCACTCTGACCCGTACCCCCCATCACACAAGCATGCAATACAAGTATCACCGTGTCAAAATGTCACTATACTAGACAGACATGAGAGATGAGACTTGCCCGATTTCCGTGTATAACCCGCCAGCGCTGTCGGGCAATGCCGGACCGGTGATCTCGGTCCGTACTTTCCCTTGACTTGAATGGCTCATGATATGTTAGAAAAAGCATAACTGATGGAAGAACACGTAGGCGTCCACACTAAATAATTATGGTGCACATAAGGTGTCCAGGTAGATCACCATGAGGATACTTTGTCAACGCTCCACATCGACAGTCCCAGATTATAACAGTTCTACACTTTGCCAGTTGTGCGGCTAGATTATTACGTCAGACGAGATATTGACGATATAATACCTTGTATCATTCAACCTCCGATTTACGAAGTGCTTCATGCACTCTGCCAGTTGTTATGACAGTCTTTCCGACTATTTCGTCATGTGAGAAATTAACAGCTTATAATCTCGCGCTTCTTCAGCCCGAGGTTTACAGAGGGTTCCTTGTGGTGGTAAGGTGTGCAGATAAGCTTCCTCAGTAACCCATCATGCGAGACAAAAATATTTACCCATTGCGACCAACACTACTGTAAGCTTACGAATCACACAAGCTTAGATTCACAAACAGCTTCTTGCACTTTGCCAGTTGTGCGGATAGACCCTTGGGAGTATTCCGTCATGTGAGAAATTGACAACACTGAAGTCTCACGTATCCTTCAGCCCCAGGTTCACAAACAGCTTCTTGCACTTTGCCAGTTGTGCGGATAGACCCTTGGAGTATTCCGTCATGTGAGAAATTAACAGCGCTTCCGCTTCAGCGACCGTACCATCAACGGTAAACTGTCGTGGCTGCAGCGCTAGCACAAAGTCTTCGCGTGTGGGAGCACTCCTAAGCGCCAACTGAGATTCGAGGGGAGGTTATTATAATGGCTAGTTGTATGTATTATATACGTATGGATGAAATTGTGTTTTTGAATAAGTATCTATTGCAGTACATACACGCAGAGTAACTGGCATATGCTTGTGGAAGATCGAGGCTCGAGCAGATTCTCAAATGCACAACAACAAAACAACAAAACCCCAGACAATTTCACTTCAACAAACGAATTCAGAACAAACACTGCAAAATACAGACACTCGCTTCACATATGCCACTATAGATAGATGAAGAAACAAAACCCTAAACCCTAATTAAAATGGTAGGTACATCACATCTCACACAGTGGGCCCATACATACCGCTACAGCGCCCCGGTCGAAGAAGCTGTGGAAGTTCTTGAGTGTCTGCGCATACGCGGTGTCTAAGCAAGTGTACACATCGTACATAGTCTGGCAGAACTCTTGCATGAACCGGTTGAGAAATGCCAGGTGCCTGAGTCAGATGCGATGCAACGTACCGAAACATCAGGGGTTAGTAGAGGCTCGGGATGTAGCCGCACAGTGTGGATTATACGTACTATGGAACTAGAATCACCTTGTATTTTAACACAGGGCAACAGTAAGACTGTATATGTACCTGAACAACACGCATATGTATAAATAAACGGCCTCTGTACCATATATGTGCAAATACACGTACATGCAATCACGTTTAAGATTTCTATATACTGCCAGCCTAGCTGCACATACACAACTGCATATACAACCAACTGACATGCAGACACACACATGTATATAGAAAAAGCATGCATGTACATATATTTAAATGCATATACAATGGGCCTACGTGGACATACACACACATGTAAGTAGAATAAACCTACATGTGCACACACATAACTGCATATAGAGCCAATTGACAAGTGTACACACACACACACAC